TAGGGTCCCGTGTTTAGTGGTTTTATCCATTCGATCAATTTGTGGGCACAACTTTAAAGCGAAATAGCAAGTGCAATAAAACTTTTATTTTGTGAAATATTTTTCTTAAGTATTTTTATCAAATAGAAATGTTTTAACACTGCATTTACTTCATACATTTTTTAACTTGCATTTCTATCGAGTTTTTATAATCTCTATAAATCTAGATTTTTAAATCGAACGTTTTGAACGTTGATCTTAGATTTTCTAAAATTGTGTTTGTAAAATAATGGCATTTTTTAATTTTTTTTTTTTTTTTTTGCTGGAAAANGGTCCCGTGTTTAGTGGTTTTATCCATTCGATCAATTTGTGGGCACAACTTTAAAGCGAAATAGCAAGATTAACATAGATAGAATTTAAATGCAAAATATTTTAAATAATAAATAAAAATTTATATTCGAATATATTAATAATATTTTTTTAGAAAATAAACGATCATTTTATAAAACGGAAAAAAATTTTTGTCTGTATGTGGGGTGATGTTAGAGAAATAAACTGAGACATTGTTCAGGAACGGGTAAATAAATTTGTTTTAATCAAAGATTATGTCAGGCGATACGTGCAATCTTGATTATTCTGTACTTCTTATACAACGACAACTAAAAAAAACATTTACAAAAATAATAAGTTTGCAAGATTAGCTAGGGAATGAATTTAATAAAAACAAAAACACTTTCGCGTAAATGGATAGGCTTCTTCAGTTAATGGAACGGAATAACGAAAGCATTCCAGAACTGACGCAGTCTATCGATCTAGGCGAAAGTGTGCTTGTTTTCATTAAATTCACTTGCTATCCAACCTTGCAAATTTATTTGTTTTGCAATCTTTGTACCAATATGCAGCAGGCAGGAAGGTCATGATATAAAAAAAAACCTTTGAAAATTCAAAACAAAGTAAGTCTTTTACTAGAAGATACGTAAAGAATATATTAAAATTCTTTGTCGGTAAATACACATAATGAAAAAGAACTACCTATGATAGGAAAATTCAAAAATTCTAGTAATCTTATGAAATACAATATTAACAACCATGAATTATTTATTAATCAAACAAGAAGACAAAATGATGTAAAAAAGGATAGGAAAGTTCTTTTAATATTGGAAAAAGTTTATTTACATTTAAAATTACAATTTTCTAACGTAAACATGTTTCTTGTCAACAAATATTATATTTAAAATTAGACTATTTAATTATCTAAAGTTTAAAGTTAAAAATTCATGCGAAGGCAAATATTTAGTAAAATTAACTGGTAAAATTACGAGTATAATTGACACGTTATTATTAAATCATAACTTCATTACATAATATAGAATGGCATTTTTAAACATAGATGGAGATAGAAGAAACTACAGTTAGAAAATGTTTTATGAAAGCTTGACTTTCATACTTATTTTCCTCTAACTTGGGAAAATGAAAATGAGTTTACAGCTAAAAACTTAGAATATGAAATTTAGAATATGGAACGGCAAAATCATTATTAGGATGTTCATTTAATGAGCTTCCAGGTCTTGAAAATCGTAGTTAAACTGTAGACATTTTCGACTGGGAATTATCTACTGTAAAATCTTTGAGTGCATTACTGAAGATGAAGATCGGTGTGAAATAATAATTATAATATTTAGTGTAGCAATCCCAAAGGATTCTTATTTTCCATTAATAATGTCATATTATAAATTCAGACATAAAATACTACTCATTCATTTCACACGAAAGAATGAATTAATCAATAGCTCCACCTGTTAGTAAAAGCTAAAATCAAGCTTCTCGGAGGTCGTTGTTCACGGAAATCCGGTAACTTTAGATAGTGTACACAGTTAATTAGTTCTGGTCTAAACAGTTAAACAGTAATTTGTTCGTGTCAGAAGCGAATCTTGAAAATTCCTCCTTGGAAGAAGAGAAATATTATTGTCTACAGACTTTGCCCTATTGGGTAAGGAATAGTGCATATTCAATTCTACAAAACTGTAATGAAGATAATTCAGTTTTAAAGCGTTAACCGAAAATTATGCGAGTTATAGATTTCTTTATTTCCATTTAAATATGAATTTTTATAGATGCATGTCTGAACTATCCCGATATAGTTTATATATACAGTAAAACCTGTCTATGGCGACCACCCACGGTTCCTTCAAAAAGTGGTCTTTTAGACAGGTGGTCGTCCAATACAGGTGGTGCTGTAATACCGTATTTCCGTACGTATTTTGCGCACTTTTTAGCCATTTCTACTTAGCAAAATTCGAGGCGAGCAAAAATAAGCGAATTTTTTCAACGATAGGGCTATATTGGTATTGTATTTTATTCTTATCGGATAACCCGATTTACAGGAGTTGTCATGATATTATAAGACAGATTTAACACCAATATTTTAAAGATTAATACAGTAGTCGCATTTTCTCGATTATAATGCACACTTTCTTTTTTCCGACTTAATTAATTCGACTCG